TTGAAACCTTTAGTGCAGAGGTCACAGCCGATTACATTTGACGGCATGTGAACAACCATGGTCGAAAGTTTCAGGCGCCTGCATGAAACTCCCTTAATCACTGTATGTGGCTTATGAAGTCACCTGTGAAGGAAAAGCGTGTACGTTTTGGTATACTTACTGTACGTAACTTATTAAAATATCATGCAGCGCCAAAATACTTTTGAATCAAACATCCTCCTTCTTCCAAATGATACTTTACAGCCTTAGTCTTGCACGCTGGTGGACGGCCAATCTCGAGCAAGTTCCCGATAAAGTCCTCTTTTACTAATGTAATTATAATTAATTTTCGACCCTACTCATCATAGAGCCTCCAGAAGAAGTTAGAGCATCCGATCTAACTGGAACTCGGAGGGTCATGAGTTCAAGTCTCACCTGAAGCTCGGAATTATTTTCGGAGCTTTCTGGTTTTTTGAAAAACTGATGCCGTCGGACCCCTTTATAAGATATATATAAATTATATTACGGAATAACTAATTTAAATACAGAATATAAATACATGCCTTTAGATCTTCTGGTTTTATTGTCCTGTTTTATCTAACTTTCAAAAAGAAATTAGTTTGCTATTACAAATGTAAACTCCGATTGCATCAACGCAATAGAAGAAATAAAAGGAAACTTAGGCAATTTTTTATATATGACTTGCTAAGAGCGGACACTTTGTATCTGTGTTTGAAATGTCTTATGACAGACTATACCACGCATGCTCATGCATGGTTATTTCCTTAAATATTTTATATATCTACGTCGAAGGGTTGATAAGCGAGAAAAATAGCTGTCTTGATAAAGAAATAAAACATATTATAGAAACAAAATCTGGACAGAGAAACAAAAAGTGATATAAAACGTGACTTGGAGAACAGTTTCTATTTATATTTATTATAAATATTTATTTTTCATAGGTAAAAACTTTGCGCCCGCGTTAAGCTACAAGGTATTGTTGTTTTATTCTCCGTCAGTAAAAAAAATGTTATTCGCCAGGGTGCATCTGACTTTACGTCCGGGGGGTCACTCAACAAAAGTTTATAAGGGGAGGCTCCGCCTTAAGGTCCGACCGCTTACCCTTTTATGTACCATTTTTCACGAAAAAAGGTACTCCTTTCATACACCTTCTGCTGACAAATGGCACCCCTTTCACAGACCTTATTTAGAACTTCGCATTCTTTTTTACGCTGTAAATGCACCGTCTTTTAAATAGGAATCAATCACAAAATAGAACGTTTTCTTGACTTTATAAATTCATAAAATTCATTTTTTAGCCCCTCTGGGCCCTTTCACAGACCCAAATGACAGATTTCCCTACCCTTTCGTATACTTCAACTAGTAAAATCCCTACCCTTTGGCCTTTCATATGCCTGAAGCCTGAAAAAGACATCCCTTTCGGGCGGAGCATCCCTGTATAGGTCATTACAGGGGGGTACTCTCCCCCCCGGGCTTTAAGCTTTCTCTAAAGAGAGAGAGGTTTATAGGTAACTATGATCATGATAATTTCTCGCGGTAACTGGAAATACGCGTAGTATCGTCAGATATTAGCTAAACTAGAGAATGACGACAGAATTTGTTATTTGAAAGGTAAAGGGAATTAACTGCTTAGTATTTCGTTTGTTTGTAATCTCCAAACCACCAAATGAAAAAGAACACAATATCTACTACCTTCCCGAAATATTTCGGTTTTGTCTGACCTTCAGTGAAATCATAGTATTTGAACAACGAAGATCAAAAGCTTTGCGGTAGTCAAAAAAATACCCGCACTGTTGCACTGTTGCACTGTTGCACTGTTGCCATCTGTAGCTTCAAGCCACTTGTGCACCATACCAATAAGTGCAAGTACAATGGAAGAACCAGATATGTTGCCAAACTAGTGAGGGTCGACCACATCCTCCCATGCCGGTTTGATGTAGTCGTTGACTACAAAGTCCTCAGCAATTTTCCAAAGAGATGAAGTTAGAGAAATCGGCCGAAGCTCTTTCTTAGGGTCTAAGACTTGCTTGACCTTTGGACGAGGAGTTACTGATCCGTAAGCTTTCACAGAGAAGGTAACGTTTGTTCCACGAATGAAGAATTCAAAATGTCACTTACTGGCAGCGCTAGGAGTTCTGCGTACTCCTTTAACAAATAGCTTGACAGTCCGTCAGGGCCTTCAGGAGCTTTGTGCTTGTTTAGATGTTTCAAGTTATTGAACACTCAGTGAGTAGGCACCTTAAGGAACTCTGGGGTCTCTTCCAAAGGCAAAGAAACAGCAGTAGATTCCATGGGCTCATAGGATTGTAGCGGTTATAAAAGAGCGACATTGATGGTATTTGTAGAGTGCTTATTCGGGGGACATCGCCGGAACAAAACGCTTGATATCGTCCAACGTAGAAGACATAAAGTACATAAAATCGCAGAAGGCAGCCACTTTACCACAGACAATTGCTTCTCAAAAACGTCTCGCGGCCCGTCTATCAGAAGGGCGGGCTACCTTCACATTTCACATAAAACAACGAGAATATCTCGAGAATGTCCAGAGGATTTTTCTTAAGATCCGAAAAAAGTTTTGACAAGAGACATTCTAAAGTGAAGATGATTTATCGCTCAAAATAACAAACAAAATTTACACGTACATTAAAAGAAAAATCTCTCTTTTCTCTAACATTTCAAATCCATTGTTCGTCATCTTATGTACAAGTCTTCTACAATTTCCTGTTGATTGTTGTATTACTAAAAGGCGGGCAAGACTGCAGGAAAAGCGTGAAACACAACAGATTTCCCCACCAATTCGAATCCGCTCGAGGATATTTCTAACCCGTCATGCTGTGACGTCACGCTATTGTTTCGCACATTTCCAAAAATGGAAAAGCTCTGGACGTGACGAAGACCAAGCTCATCCGGACAAGCAAACTCCTAAATTCAGGAAGCCATCTAAGTGACTTCAATCCCTCGTAAGTGTAATCATACTTCCGGAGACCAAGGACTACCCCGGCTGGCAAAGTTTTGAACGAATAGACCTTTTTACCGATACGGCGGCCATATTGAATAAATTGGATTTAAGGACTATTATGGGATGCCCAGGGGGCATCAGTACGATCCGATATACTCGCATCAGTATTTACGCGCGCTTTTCGGGCCAACTTTTCTTTAAGTTTTCCTAGAAAAAGATTGTAATGGGAAAAAAGGTCGTTGTGCCTTGTTGGGCTGTAATAATGATCTCCTTTTTCCCGAGAAATATAAATTGAAGTTCTCTTTTTGCCCGAAAAGCGCGCGTAAATAGTGAGCGAGTGCCCCTTGAGCATCCCATAATACTCCTTACAGGTAAAGGTAGCGTCTTTCAACCAAGAAGGTACTTGATTCTGTTGATCCTAATTAATCTATGCATGCAATCTGATATTATTTTGGTCACATGTTCATTAATACTCCCAAACCCTTGGCCACAGCTTTAATTTCTTGAGTTTTTGCCTTTAAAGCCGCAGATAAGGCGACCGAGGTGTAATACTCGTTGAATTTGTTCGTTTGAGAAAAAGGATCTTCTGTTGTGCTCAGTGGTGAATCTTTACAAGGTAGGCAACTATTTAAGACATTAAAAGAAATCAGAAGCATTTTATCTCGCATCGTGCAAACAAAACCTTTCTTTTTATATTTATGTTCCGATCAGCAAAGGTTTTAACTACTGAGGATCGATAAGTTGGATTCCTCCTTCAAACAAGTAACTTAAAATTTCAGGCCTAAAATCTTTTTTCTTTTTCTATTTTTGAGATAATAAATCTATAATGACTGTAATGAGCTCTTTTGTATTGTTCTTTGGCTAACCTCACCCGAGATGTAGTGGTAGTAGTAGCAGCTTTTATCGGATTGGTTAGTTGTTAGTTAGTCCTTTAGTGACAAGCTAAGAAAAAGTTGCAAAAAAATGAAAAAGAGTAGTTATCAAAAAGTGTTTACAATGTAAAGCCTTGATCCTAGATGGCCATCTCTGAAGTTCTCTATAATCTATCCACCTGTTCCTTACCTGCGAATACGGTATTTTTTGCTAATTTGTTTTCTGTGAGTTAATTGTATAATTGTGATTTCTGTTTTGTTCTTTTCTTTTTATATATACATTACATAATAGGACTTAATTACAGCACAGAAAGGAAAGAAGAAAATTGTTTCATATCAATGAAGAATATATTACATATGAAAAAAGTATACTGGATTGAAGAACAAATACACGAATTAAGTCACGTTCCATTTACTTATTCAAAACCGGATTTTCCAGAAATTTTTTGTAGATCGTCAAAAACCCTTGTTTTGTTACAAACCTTCTTCCTTTCCAGTATCACATCGTGCTATTTCCATGCAAAGAAGCCCCTGAACATGATCATTGGGTGTTACATTTGAAGCGCTCTTATTTTGGTATACGGCTTATAAAACGAGGAATATTACATTTGAAGCGTGCCTGTTTTGATTTATGGTTTATAAAACGAGGAATATTACTGTTGGAGCGTGCTTGTTTCCCTTTATGGCTTTTATAGCTTATATTTACGATCCGTATCAATCAAGCATACAAATCGTACGGATCGTACGAACCGTAACATACTGTGCCCTTATGTAATAATGAGATGCACACTTGGCATGTGCTCAGAATACGGACTGTTAGCAATGTTGACGGTTTGTACAGAGCGTACAATCCGTCAACTGCTGGCTCCGTAACAGTGCGGCAGTATTGGACATGACTGTATGGCTTGAAAGCTAAGATGTGTATTGGAGATCGCCCTTACTTTTACAAAGAGGTTCCCGGATCTTACTATTCTAGTCAACGAAGCGAACAAATTTGGTCTAACCAAAACGAAATTTTCGTCCCACCGGCACGAGATTTCGTCTTATATCACGAACTTTCGTTTCGATTCTTCACCTAGGTTGCGAAATATTCGTCGACACTTTAGAACAATAAATGCGCCAAAATTTCGCCGCTTTTTTGTCTGAACGGAGGGTTTGAATTTTTTGGT